CTGTTTGCTATGGAATTTATAATTTTATCTTAATTTGGAGAAAGATGATTACAATGCATTCAAACTTTTCTCCAACCAAGTGAAAGCAGGGGCTGGATCTGTATTTAGAACAGTTTTCCTATAATTGGAGAATGACACTACTTAGGAAAAAAACAAGAACAATTATTTCAAGTAATTTACTCTTTCATTTCAGGGAGGAATAGAACATTGTCTTTAGTATAACTAATAATGTATTATTGGTATTCAGTATCAATTTATTAATATTCAACATAAGTCACAATGTTACAATTCATTTGGAAGGTGTTTCTCCACTACCTGGTTAACATAAAAATCCCAAACAACCCCTGAATTTATTCCAAAACCCAATCAACCCTTTTCTATGTCATTTCCCTTGGAACAGATAAGAAGCTTACAAAAGTAAAATTACAGTGTTTGCTTGAAAACTAATCTCCATTGCTCTGATTTGCCACCAGCCCCTCCCCAACCAGCACCAACATTTTCAAAAATTCCTTTCTCCCATGGCAAGTATTTCACTTGTTTATTTCAATTCTTAGACCAATATATCAAATTCTACTTTATCTTTAAATACCGCAATAGAATAAAAAAGATAAAGGTAATATTTAATTTCTTATGTAAAGGCAGAATACTGGATTTGTGGGAGAGAGAGAGGCATAGGACTAGATTGCTTGTGACCATGACAAACCAAATTTGTCTAAGCTGGTACACAAAGTTCTATTAGCCCTTAAAGCAGGGTAGGAGGAAAATAACACCATTTGTTACCCAGCTGCACAGCAGGACCTGGAGAAACTCCTGCTCTGCATTCAGTAACTTAGAAATTGGTAGCTGCAAGATCTGCTTAGTGGAGTGCCTGACAGCTCCAGAGATCTTCCCCTGTTTGCCATGTCCAAGCTGTCCCCCAGGTCAAAGACACACAGTCTCACTAGGGTGAATTTCTTTACCTTCCAGGAAATGTCTTGGAGTGATCTTAATCACACTGTGGTCTGATCCAGACAGGGAACCACACCCATGAAGGTTTGACCCAGCTGGATCAACTGCATGGGGAAGACACCACTGCCCATGAGAAGAGGTGTAAGAGTAGCACCATGATGGGTGTCAGGTGTGAGAGAGTTTAGAGGGGGTGGGAAAACCTGCTGATACCATGCTGAACATGTGCATTCCTTCAAACTGTGCCTATACAGCTTTTGTCTTAACTGAACCAGTATACACAACACTTCTGGCAGGGCTGGCAGAGTTACCAGAGACTCGTATCAGTACAAAACAAAAATATAACTCTGAGTGCAAGAGCAGAAAGAACATCAGAGAGGATATAGGGAGCTTCACAACCTCTGTGTCTTGGTGTACATCATGCTACCTTCAACATCTATATAAAACTGACTTGTGCTCCCTCCACAGGTCATGAAAGATCACAGAACCATAGAATAAAAGGGTAGGAGGGTCTCAAGGATCATCTGCTTCAACCTTTCTCAGCAAATCAAGATCTAATCAAGATGGCCCAGACAAATCTGAGAAGTGTTCTATGTGGGAAGGCTGCCTAGTGCAAATATTAGCTGTACTTCTGAATGTCTCCCAGTTTAGTTTTGGTGTTGTTGGGGGTATTTTTGGTTTTGTTGAGGGTTTTCTTTGTTTGGATTTTGTGATTGGGTTCAAAGTATTTTGTTCTAGAGGTACAGTTATTCTGGAATGCCTTGTAGCTCTGTCCTTAGGGATTGCACTTCATGTCCTTACCTGAGAGGCAAGGCACAGTAGCAGGAGATTGATTCACTAGCAGATCTGACAGCCCTGGACAAAACCCATCTGTTGTCATCCCAGTCTGGATTCCCAGAAATTCCCTGAGGGTCCCAAGGCAGTGAATGGGTGCAGGTTGGTTGAACCCTGTAGGAAAGCTTTGTTTGATATCTTTCTAAAATCATTAGTAATTACAAATGCACAAAAGCTTCCCTGGCAGGTGACAAAAAACCACCATTCCCCACTCACAAGCACAGAAAACCAGAGTACATCAGCCTAAAAACATGTTTGGAGTGAAAATCATGTTCCACAAAGTGTTAGCATTTATCTGGATGTGAACAGGACTGCACATTCCATGGATGATTCTCATGGGTCTTTTGTCTAGACTAGACATTCACCTTAAAACATACTCATAATTAAAAAAAAAAAAGGGAATAATCATTGGATTTAAAGTTCACAGCAGTCACTCTTTACCCTGCTTTCACACTCTGCCCAAAAAAAAGACTAAGGACATTTATATCTCAAAACTAGAGGTGCATCACTACCATTCTACTGACATGTCATCATACGACTTTAGACACCAAGGGTACTCTTTAGTCCCAGACAAAACACAATATTTCACTTACTATTGAAGTAGAGTTTTCAATCTGCAATTTTTTTCCAGAAATTATTTTAATAATATAAGAAAGAAAGAAAGAAAATCTGTGCCTTACTTAAGTGGTAACTGAAGAGAAAAATTAACATTTTTCAGAGGATTGTGAGGCACTGGAACAGGTTGCCCAGAGCAGCTGTGGCTGCACTGTCCTTGGAAGTGTTCAAGGCCAGGTTGGATGGGACTTTGAGCAGCCTGGTCCAATGTGTGCAAGGTGTGCCCACACATGGCAGGGGGGTTGGAAGCAGATTATTTTTAAGACCCCTTCCAACCAAAGCCATTCTATGATGATGATTTTACCACTGCTAATTGCTACAATTTCTTCACCTAAAACAACAAGTGTCAAAAAAGAAAAAAAAATCTTAAATGTAATTACACTTTTAAGCTTCGCTTCTGCAATTGCTCCAGGCTCAGTAATGCACAATACTTGGAAGAATTTAAATATACTTGAAGTCTTCTGTTTTGTTATCCTGTTTATATGTTTGTGTGTTACAAAATTCTGGCTCTCTAGAGGTGAGCAGACACCATGTGCCACCTACTTTGCCATTTTGCTTCAGAGGTTTCACTTATTGAGAAGTAAGCTTCATGCAAATAAAATTACTTTCCCCTCCTGGCATTTGGCAGTCACACGGAAATGCAAGAGCAGAGTATGAAAGAAAGTCGCTTCTCAGAAGTGTGTTCAGAAAGAATAACAAGCATTAAATTCAAAATGAACCATCTGTGACAACCCCTGAGCAGTGCCTCATTTCAGTAAGTGCAAGCCTGGGAATGAAAGTGAAACCGTACGTAACTGTCAATTAAAATAAACTAATATAGACTTTTCTGCCTCTGGGGGGAGGGTGTGCACAGATTTTCTGCAAACCCTCTCTTTTCCATTTTCTTGGCATAAATTTTAAAGTTCAGGAGAACAGAATCACATCTGCAGCCAACATACATTACACACCTCATGGGAGCAAAAGTGCTGGAAGAGGCACTATCATTGTGGATCACTTCTCAGTATTCCATGTATAGCTGGCATAAGATAATATAGCTTCACATCAAAATTAATTCTAAAACAATTTATAAGAAAAGAGTGATTTCACATCAGAAATAAGGTATTTACCACACTCCATTTGGGGAATCTTATACAGTTGCATTTAGAAACTAAATCCAGAGGTTTCTGTCACTTCACTCAGAGCACAAAAGCCCAGAGCAATGGCAGCATAGCCAAGGTAAGTAGAAACACACGGAAATTCCTGCTTGCCCAAACATAATATGTGTATATATATACTCCACATTGACTGGCCTTACCTTTGGATTTACAGGATTTAAATCACATCAAAATTTGCTCCTCAGAGTGTTCAGCAGGCAGTTCTGGGAAAGGGTCCAGAAGAATTCAGTCGATAACCATGAAGACTCTGTCATTTTACAAGATATAGGTTGCTGACTGAAAAGAAAAAGTATTTTTAGGCAGTAAAATTGCAGTTTTACTCCTTATTGAATTTGGACCTACACTGCAAGCTGTAAAAAATACTCAGCTAATAGAACATTGTGTATTTTTATTGAACCTGGAAAATACCGCTGAGACAGCAGCTCTCAATGCTACCAGGATACTTTCCATAAACACTGAACTAGAGTTGTATGTGTGTAAATACTAAGTGTGTTTCAAGGCCTTCCATTTTATTGGTACTACTTCGTAAGGTATTTTATCACCTGAATGAGTGTATGGTTATTTAAGAATGTTAAAATCTTAAAGGTATTTTAAATTCTATTTTATCAACATTCAGGTGTTAATCCATGTTTCAAATAAGACAGTAGTATGGCAGTAGCTCAAGCTCTGCTTGCCTTCATGTTCTGGTTTCAGCTGGGATAAAATTAGTTTTGTTCTTACTAGAAGAGTGCTGTGTTTTGGATTTGGGATGAGAATAATGCTGATCACACTCTGATGTTTTGGCTGCTGCTCAGCAGTGCTCACCCTGTGTCAAGGACTCTTCAGTGGCTCCTGTCTGCCAGTGAGAAGCTGCACCAGGAGCTGGGGGGGAGCACAGCTGGGACAGCTGGCCCAAACAGTCCAAAGGGATATTCCACACCATCAAGTATCACGCTCATATAAACTGGGGGATTTGGAAGGGAAGGGCTGATAGCCCCTGGGGGACAGGCTTGACATCATTCAGGGAGTGGTGAGCACTGGTGTTGTGCATCACTTGTTCTTCTCGGGTTTTCTTTCTTTCTCTCCTTTTCATTACAATTATTACTGGTTTTATCCTTAGTACTGTTATTATACTTTCCTTTTTTTCAATTACTAAACTGTTCTTATCTCAACTCACAAGTTTTTACTTTTTTCTGGTTCTCCTCCCCTGCTCACTGGGGGAAAAGGGAGTGAGAGAGCATCTGCATGGTAGTTAGCTGTCACTGGAGTTAAAGCACAACACTTAAACATTTGGAGTCCCACCACAATCCAAGCCTGTTTGCAGGACTGACCTCAGCAGTGAGAATGCCTCTCTGTGCGTGCCTTTTGAGCAAATCAGGGACCTACCAGGATCTCATTAATGAGAGCCAGCCCAAGGCATGGCTGCGACTGCACCACCCACCCTGAGATCTCAGCTGTAACTCTTTCCTGCAGGTATTCCTTTCAAGATGAAGAGGACATGTTCATGGTGGTGGATCTCTTACTCGGAGGGGACCTGCGCTACCATCTGCAGCAGAACGTGCACTTCAATGAAGGAACTGTTAAACTCTACATTTGTGAGCTGGCCCTTTCCTTGGATTATTTGCAGAGATACCACATCATTCACAGGTAAGTGCATTTCATTTGAGGAGTGGGCTGCTTGCTTTTGGCAAAGCAGAGGAACTTTATCATATATCTGACTTTATAGTTCTGTTTATTCAAAACCCCTGTAAAGTTCCCATTGCTTATTCAAGGGTGGAATTTGGGTCTGGAACGTTTTCTTTTTAAGTGCTTTCTTTCAGTCCACAGCCATTCAGTAGCCTTGTATCCTTCTCATACTGCCCTTTTCTCCTGATCTCTTCCTATGATCTACATTTTTCACTGTGGTCTTCAAACACTAAATACAACCCATAATAGCAGCCTGATTGCTTTTAATTTATTTTTAATTCTCCAGTGCCCCAATGTTACTGAACACAAAAATGTTGTTGTAATCCAGTACCAGAGCTTCCCACAAGAAGATCAGGGAGCAGTTATAGAACCTAAAGCTGAGAATAATTCATTTACTGGCAGCATCTGCATGAAGGTCAGGAGGAAGAGAGGTGGGGAAGTAGGAATAATAGTACAAATCAATTGGAACAATGATAGATGCTGCATCCTTTTTGTACTTTTTATATCACAGCAATCTGTTAGGTTTTCTGCCATACAGTAGCAAAGATAGTATTCATTTCAAAAAATGTGTCAGGAATCAGGGTCTGTTTCCCTTAAACATTTTGGCATTTAACTGAAGTATCAGGGATAACTTCTATTTTTATGTCAACACAGTAACTATGAAATTATAAAATTATGGCTTGAACCTTTTTTTAACTCTTTTTTAGGCTAAATTCAGGGCTCTCTTTTCTGATTTGAGTGGTATGAATGCAAAAATACAGTTTTGTATATACAAAATCTGGATGTGGCTTTCAGAGACCGAACTAAACTAAGCTGTGCCATAGGTCTCCCAAATCCAATATGAACAAATTCCTTCAAATACATTAATGGAGAGTTTTCACCCCATCCACTTGCCAGAGCTGCCTCCTGATTTTGCAATAAAGATACAATAAAAAATATGGTCTGACTTTCAGAGGAGGAATGGCCAGCATGAAATCTATCTTAGCAGAGATGCAGTGGTAGGTGGGTATTTCATGTTACTGAAACTGTGCAAAATTCCAGTAAACATTGCAACACTTGCTTTGCTTGCAGTTAGAACTTCAAATATAATAAAACTTGCAAATATTGCAAGAAAATTCTTTAGTACACTGTTACTATTTTAGTATATTTCCATGAATTTTGCAGAAGTTTTATTTTCTCAGTGAGTATTTTAAAAGTGGAGCTCAGAATTATAGCTGACCTTTGTTCCTAATCCCTTAAGGAATGCTCTTGGTGGAAAACAGATTGGTGAGATCTTTTATGCAAATAGGCTGGCAAAATATTCATCAGATAATCCAGTTTGCAGCCAAAACTTGTATTTTGCTAGAAGTCTGTAGCTTAAAAATGTATCACAGAAAAGCCTGAGAAAGATGACAGATGTCTTGAAAGAATGAAGGACTGGATTGAAGTCATTGTGGTTGTTCATGGCTTTTTGTGACAATGTCTGCCTTGTCATGGTCCCACTGTGAAACTGGCTTGACACTTCTATCTCTTTTGTATTACTTAATCAAGTGAACACTCAATTTTTTTTTCCTTTTTTTGAGTCATAGTGGTTCAACACTTGCTGATTTGCACTGAGGTGGGGGAAGGCATGGCCATCCAGAGCTGGTTGTTGGTTCTGTTTGGGAGCAAGTTCTGGGATTTGGATTTGGCTTTCATCAAAAGTTTTGACAGAAAGATTGGACAAAATAACATTCTTTCAGGCTGCAGAGTGTCACTGACTGGTTGGCTAGGATTGTTGTCTAGGGATCTGCTTCAGGACCCTGCTGTGTTATGGAAGAGATGTTTATTTTGAAGCTTGCAGTCCTGAGATCTGCGTGTGTCTGTCCCACTTCACTGCTCACTGCTCAAATGATACAACTGTGGCATGAGTCTTTTGCCTCTCATCTAACACAAAATCCCAAATGATCCACTTGTCTATGGTCATGTTATTTAGCCAGGTGAGACCCAGAATACTCTGCCTTCTGTCTCACCACCACCTGGAACTGCAGTCTGTGGGATGGGTCTTCAGCTGCCTTAAATCTCTGTAGCATATCCAGCATCAAGAGTGCAGTGCTGACTCAATTTGGTGCAGGATCAGAGCCAGCAGTGATGCATGGTGAGGGCACATCTAGTCATTCCTTTATCACTGCAAACACACCATCTCATTTGGAGATGAAACCAGTGATCTGCTCGGTGTTTATACCTTGTGGTAGCAGGCCTCAGCAATATCATTGTTACCAAGTGCTTCCAGTCAGCATTCACATGCTAACCTATATAAGATCTTTCATTTTAAAATGAATGCGTTAGCAGCAAAAAGGAAAAAATGTTCGTAAGTCAGAGAGTCATTGAGAGAGCCTCTGAGAGACAACATATGCTAGATGTTGTCTTGGCTACAAAGAAAGAATAGTAAAAGGATTTATCAGACTGAGTTGGTGGATTTTCAAACTGCAGCATCACAAAGAACTGAATATATGGGGTGTGAATTAGGAGTTTAATTCCTCCTAATATACCATATTTATATGAAATATGTTCAGATTTCCATTACTATTGCATCCAGCACCATGGCAGAATGGGTTCTTCTAGGTTAGCCTGTGGCCCCAGAAGTTTGCCAGAAAAGGAGATGGTACTGAAGGGGACAGGAATTCCCAGCATGTGACGATGGATGTGGGAGTGTAGATATCAGTATTGTGCCCATTCCCCTTGGGGATGCCTTGCAGTGCCTCTGTGTTTGTTGATGTGGTTAGTGGTGTGTACTTTGAATGTGGCAATCATTTCAGCAATAGGACTATTGTTACTGCAGGGAAAAATTTAGCTATAAATAGAATAAAACTGTTCTGGTGTATTTATGAAACTTGCAATTTTTATTAATCACATCCATGTGTATAAATTCCGTATTTGTCATGCATAATTCTGCTGTAGTGGATTTATTTATTATGGTACAATAATGAATGCTGGTCTGTGTCTTGCAGCTCTATTGTAAATGTTTGCATTTGCATGGATGTTCACCCAGAATTATAAAAAACTTTAAAAAGAAAATATCTAAGTTTCAAGCTATTATTAGAAGGCTATTCTGAGTAAATTTTTCACTTATACAACAGCTAACTTAATGTTGAGATTGCTGGTCACAGACAAGAGTTACACCAAAACCCCTTATTTTCTCACAGCCTTGCTGTAATTATATTTTATCCACATTTCTCACATGAAAAAATTACTATTTTAAAGCTGGATGGGTGGCATTTCTTATAGACCCTTGGATCCCAGTACACCCAGAAAGGCTTCTTACAGTATACATCATCTCAAACATTGTCAAATTTTGGATCAAATCCGGAATTCTGCCATTTCAAGATGGTATGACTAAACACATTCCTTCCAGAACTTGTATAATGCCAGTGAATAATGTATTGGACAAAAGTTTTCTCATCAAAGGCTGAATAAACTTATTTCAGCCATGAGTAACTCAACTTTCTCCTTTTCACAAATGTTGCTGTTCATACATTTCAATAAAACCACCTGCCTCCTCACCAAAGCAGGCTGCCTGTTTCCATTCAGAGAGTTCTTCCTGCAGTAGCTCCAGTGTTGTCTCTTCCAGGATGCTCTTGCAGCTACAGCCCTGGCTCAGAGCAGTGCTGGCCCTGCAGTGCTGTGGCTGCTGCCCTGGTAACATGATCATGCTGAAAAAAATCACATTTTCTCTTTCTAAGGGACAAGTGTTAACTGCATTGCCCTCACAACTTTTCATCATCGTCTGGCTCCACTGGTTTTCATCTGCTTAGAGAGGAGGCTGGATGTGGCAGATGTCTGGAATGGAAATTGCAGTAACCTTCCAGCACAGTTTGAGGATACTGGACTAGCTCTTTCATCAGTGTGCCCAGGACACTTTTATTTTAGTGGGGTTTATTTAATGCAAAACTGTTTGTGTGTGTGTGTACATATGTAAGTATACATATAAAATTTTTTTGAGCACAATATGACTGGAATCAGCCTGGCTTGGCGGGTCTGTGCTGTGTGATCACCAGTCTGTTTTCCATTTCTCCAAGTTCTGCTTCCAATGGAGAATTGCACCAGGAGTTATTCCAGCTCTGAATAGCAGTGCAGGGTGGGCCAAACTCAATAACTCAATAGCAGAGCAGGGTGGGCCAAAGCTAATGGACAATGGTGGCAAATTGAGCATTGCAGTTTCCTTTGCCAGATGATCCACTGCAGGCTAAGGCTGTCTTGCTGCTACCAACTAGACAAGAGTTACTCTGTGTTCAGAACTGTTCATTATCATTGAGCCTGCCAAGTTGTTTGACAGTCTGGTGAAAGAAGAATCTACATCTAAATGATTAGACACTTAAAAAATGGGCCTTCCCTGTCTCACTTGTGACAGCATACAGCAAAAGAACAAACTCGGTTTAAAACAGTGCCCTTCATGCATTTTCCATTTAGTATGTAAGCAGTAAATAGTTTTGAAAATCACTTGGAGATGGAAAATTTGCCCCTAGATTTTCACAGGTGTCACAGGCAGAATAGTGCCAACCTGAGATTTAGCTGGCTATACTAAATGACACACAGTTCCTTACAGATTTCTGCTCATACTATTAGTCTTTTACTTTCTGGCAAGTGTGTGTAGATGGAGAAAAAATGTAGTAGGGTCTGAAGTAGATGAACTAGGGAAAAAAATAACCATAATACAGCTACAGCTTATAAGGACTATCAAAGATCACAGCAGATCAAGAGGCTCATCCACTGAATTTTCTTAGTTTGTGTTCCCATGTCTCTTCCATGGCATTGTATCATGTCCTTTAAGCAAGTGCTAGCCCACATTATTCCAAGGAAAAATTGCAGGAACTGAGCAATGAGCTGTGTAAGACAAGTAAATCAGAAAACATATCAAAATCAGTCAAAAAATAAGCACCATGCAAACCATAAAGCCCTGAACACCTGCTGAATGCTTATGTGCCAGCAAAGATGAAAAAAGA